TAAAATGGAGATGCAAACATCTGGTCAATTTCAGAGATGCTGTGCACGTTAGATATGATAACACTTTCAAAATATTTTAATTTGTTGTGTACTCCAGTCACCCAGAAGTTCCACTCCACTTGTCAGTGGTGGCCTCATCACTATCATCACCATCTTCAATGTCATCATCATCATCGTCGTCATTATTGGGATAGGCATAGTAAGCAGTTGCCCAGGAAAATGTGACTGAAGAGATATGTCCGGAACAAGGCAAGTAGGTTCCACCTCTATTAATTTCCCAGGTCTGCCTTGAAACAGGTACCACACACTGGGTGGCTTCAAACAACAGAAACTGATTTTCCCACAGATCTACAGGACGAAAGTCTGAAATCAACATGTCAGCAGAACATGTTTTCTCCAAAAGCTCGAGAGGAGAATCCTTTCTTGTCTCTTCCAGGCCCTGCCAGCTCCTGGTTTTTCTCAGCTTATGGAGCCATAACCCAAATCTCTGCCTCTGTCTTCACATGGCCTCTTCTCTGTGTGTCCAAATGTCCCTTTCCTTTCTCTCCTAGAGACCCCAGGCATGGGATTTAGGGTCCACCCTAAAGCCAGTGTGGTCTCATGTTGAGATTCTTAACTATTTATATCTGCAAATACCCTGCGTACAAATAAGGTCACATGCTGAGGTTCTAAGTGGATATAATTTAGGGTGGCATTGCTAGCTCCAGTGAAAGATGGAGGCTGACTGGGAACCTGTTTTAAGATGAATTTTAAGGCTGAATTCAGGATCGGCAGGAAAGAGCACCAGGATCACGAGCAAGACATAGAAAGTGGATGCACATTTGTCGTATTCTTGTCATCACTAATCGCTTACCTATGAGGAACCTGAGACTTCAGGAAGATTTGTCAGTGCCCAAGGTCACTCAGAGGCAAAGTTGTGCTAGAAATAAAATCTCCTGACTCAAAACTCAGTGCTCTTTTCATTACATAATTTAAAGATCTTTCCTTATCTCAACACTTCTCTAAAAATTATTACTAAAAATATAAATATAAGACCTTGAAAATTACTGACATCTTAATACTTATGTTGATTTAATTGGTCAGGTTAGAATTGTTAGAAACAATTTGGCTGACTTCCACTTCTGGCTCTGATAGCATAATTGGTATCACACTAACTTTCCACCTGAGAAAAAAAGAAGAGTTGGATAAAATTTAAAAGAAAAACTTTCGAAAGCTTTGAAGAGTTGGTGTAGTTGACATTGGTATGTTTTAAGGAAAGTATTACTGGTAACAAAGAAGGGCACTTCAGGATGGCAAAAGATGATAAAAAGGGCCAATTCAATAGGAATACATTAAAAAAATCCTAAATTTGTAGGCATCTAAAAATATACCTTTAAATATATAAAGTAAATGAAAAAAAGATACAATTAAGAGGACACATAGTCAGATCCATATTCGTAGTTAAAGGTTTTTAACTACCTCTGTTTTTCATGGATATAACAAGCAGACAAAAAAATCAGTGAGGACATAAAAGATATGAATGAGATTAAGAAACTCGACCTAATTGATATATAGAACCATTTAGCCAATTACTGAAAAAGAGACATTCTTTTCATGAACATGGATTACTGCCCAAATTGACCACATGCCTGGGGCACAGAGCAAATCCACATAAATTTCAAGAGATTGAAGTCATTTAGAGCACGTCCTCCAGCCACCGTAGAATCCAGGCACAAATTAATCACAAAAAAATATAAAGAGAAAAATCTCCCAAATAGTGAATTAAGCAAAACAATTTCAAAAGACCATAAGAAAAAGAAGAAATCACAGTAAAAATTAGAAAATACGTTGAAATAAATGATGAAAATACTACATATTAAAACTTCTGGAATACAAAAAATAACTTGCAGAATGCAGCTAAAACAATCTGTTGAGGCACATGGAGAGCCTTAAACGTATATTTTAGAGAAAAAAGAAACACTGAAAAAGTAATAACCTATACTTTCATATTAAGAAGATAGAGAGGAGGGGCTGGCCCCATGGCCTAGTGGTTAAGCTCGGCATGCTCCTCTTTGGCGTCCTGGGTTCAGTTCCTGGGTGCCAACGTACACCACTTGTCAGTGGCCACGCTGTGGTGGCGATCCACAAACAAAACAGGGGAAGATTGGCACAGATGTTAGCTCAAGCTGAGTCTTCCTCAGCAAAAAAAAAAAAAGCTAGAGAGGAAATGCAAATTAAGTCCAAAGGGAGTAGAAAGAAGGGAATAACTTTTTAAATGGCAAAAAGGAACTGCATGTAGGAAAAAATCAACAAACCCCAACATTCATTCATCAAAAAGACTAATAAGGATTAATAAAATTCTAACAAAAATGATCAAAAACAAGAGAAGAGACACAAATAAACAATATCAGGAATAAAAAATACCCTACAGACATTAAAAATAAAATTAGGGATATCAAGAGCAATTTTATACGAATGCATCTAAAAATGTAGATAAAACGGACAAATTCTTTGAAAAACAACTTATCGAAACTGATACAAGAAGACATAGAAAATATGAAGAGTGCTTTATCAAAAAAATTAAGTTTCTAATAATAATATTCCCACAATATAACGCCAAGATGGCTTCACCAATGAATTCTTCCTAATATAGTAAGAAATAGCAACAGTTTACCACAAACTCATACAGGGAGTAGAAATAAAGGGAAGACCTCTTTACTTGTTTAATGAGGCCAGCGTAAACTTGATACCAACCCTGACAAGGATATTACAAGAATTTTGGAACAATCACACACGCGCGCGCACACACACACACAAACCCGGCACTGAAATTAGGTATAAGGGCAGATGAAGCAGGCGTGTGAAACAGGCTATGAGAATTATTTCCCTCCTAGTTCTCTCGCTTCACTCTTTAGGAGAGCAACCTTGAGCTGTTGAGGTCGAAATGAACTGTGACTTCTTTGCAGGAAAGAAGGCAGCACAGCAGGAGATGTACCCTTCTGAAGCCATGCATATTTATCAAATCACGCCAGGGCAGTGACGCCCTCTTTTTCAAAATTCAGCCTAGTACTCTCTATTGGCACTCCTCCCTTCCAAGCCCGCTTGTGGTAACTGAGCGAAGTGGAACCCGCAGAAGCATGAGTTGGCCACTGCTGGGTTCCGCGTCGGCTCTGCCATTGGTTGGCAAGGTGACGTTGAGAAGCAACCTAATCTCTAGGAGCCTTAGTTTTCTCCTATCAAATAATGGGGCAGTAATATTTATCTCAAGGCAGTGAAGGGTATTAAATGAGGTAACAGATGTGATAGTGCCTAGCACAGATTCTGCCACCTGAAGTTTTTACGTACAGATAGAGATTTTCCTGAAGCTGTTATTTACGTGATTCATGCTACCTAAGCTCACTATTGTCTACTTTTTCTACTTATTAAGGGCAATCAATACATGTCCCTGAAAGATTGTCACCTATTGTTGCAACTCCTTGTGATGCGTCTGTGGGCACATCAGACACATGTTAACTAGAAGGCCTATGGCATCTCTTACAACATAATAGTTAGAAAGACGATGAGTAGACTATTTGGGGGCGTGGGGGGGCACACTGTCCAAGAATCATTACGAGTGCTCTAGGACTCCATAACAAATCAGAGAAAATCCTTTTTCTGAAAAATTACCTTGCTAAAAGTCCTATGGGTGGATCAGAGGAAAGCGGCTTCCACTCACAAGACAGAACAATACTGTAGACAGACTGAGGGTCAGTAACTAAGTCTAGGCTTAAATTTCCTCACCAAAGCCAGACCCCTTGGGACCTACGTCTTTACAACACCTTTGCAAAGAAATTTCCTTGTCTGGAATGTGCCTTCCTCAGGACCCTGCCTAGAAAATTGTTACTTTAAAATCACACGTTCATTGGATCAAAAATGTTTATGAAGCCCTTAACATGCATCGAGTGCCTGGCACTGGGGTTACAAGGGTGAGCGAAATCTGACCTGCACCTCATGCTTCTCTGCTCAAACTCTGCACCAGTGTCCCTGTAAAGCTCGCCCTGGTCGCTCCCTGCCTGTACTCCAAGCTCTGGGTGTACACATTATGGTATTAGCAAATAATCAAGTGTTTACACAGCTTTTTCCCCAGCCTGGCAGGGAGCTCCATAAGAGGAAGGCCCAAGTCAATTCATTCTTTCTTCCCCAGTGCACACCTCGGAGTCTGACACATATTGGGCACTCAATAAATGTTTGCTGAATGAATTATGCATTATTCATGAGACCTTGATACAGTCAAATCTGTTAAATGATTCTGCTAATGAATAAGAGAGAAATGAAAACAATAACACTCAGGAAAATTACATATTTCTGACATATTTTTTGGTTTTATCCTATTTTATTAGATTTTACTACCAGTCCTAACAGCTACTTTAAAAATGCCTGCAAAGCTAATGTCATTGGTTTTTAAAGAGACACACAGTAAAAATATAGGTGAAATTATGCCTAATCAGCCTTTTTGCATTTAAAATCATGAGAATTTGGGGGAAGAAAACAGAATGAGCTTATATTTAATTGGAAATAGCTACATATGTGAGTGACTTATACCAGGGAATTTGTTAGGTTTCTATACTAATCGACAATGTTCATCTAGAAATGGCAAGTAGTAGAAGATATTCATAGAATTTTACTTCGTAACACCGAAGTCTGGCGCATTCTCCAAACAGAGATAACATTACTTATTTGAAAGCACTTTGTATAGACCTAAAAGTTTCCTGAAGTTTGTAAAAATGTGCGGAACTGTCCTTGATTAAATTTGAAAAATGAAGAAAATAATACCCGTCATTACTTGTGCCAAAAAAAGGAGAAGAGGCCATTCTTCTCGTAATCCTGGGCAGATTCTGGAGGCTTAAGCAGAGTAAACATCAAGGAAACTTTAGCGATCAAGAGATGTAATTTCCATCTACCTCTTTTGAAATAAAAAAATGCTTAGCCTTTATTCATCACGCTAAAAACTCAGACAAAGGACTGGAGAATGAAGTACCTACTTGGTCTGGTGTTTAGATCCTTTCAGGTGGGCGTGATACTGTTCTATTGAGTTTAGGGAGACACTGCAGATGGTACATCTGTAATTGCGCCTCAGACCTGTGGACAACAGACAGACCCAGTTAGCTGCATCCTTGTCATCAACCAACTGAATGAATCCTCCAATCTCCAAAAGTTCAGAGACAGAGTATCCTAGAGGCCATCTGGTGCACCCCACCAACAACGCTTCAATCCGTCCTTCCAAAGGCCAGCCAGGAGGCCCCTTAACAGAAGAATGACCGTGAGCACGTTAGAAGCAGCCGGCGCCATTTCTACGTGACAGGAATTATTAGAACGTACTTCTCTGAGGCAAAACGTTTCTGGACATTTTGTAACCCAAACAAAGAAGCATTCTACTTTTTCCTTAAGGCGTACAGACATAGTAAGCTGTCATCTCTGCAATGAAACTTAAGACTTCAGAGAAAAACTCTGTCTCAATTCTTCTTCCTCCTCTATTCCAGTGGCAGAATCAGAAATTCGACTTTAAACATCATTCATTGGGGTTCTTCTTCCAGGATCATCTTATAAAATGTAAATACCGAAGAGAAGGATAATATATTAATCTAATTCACATGAAAGCTTACTTTCCACCAGAGAGTTTAAAAGAAAGTTATTCATTCATTTGTTTATTCATTTAACTCCTTTATTAACAGAGCATCAACTGGGGACCAGGCACCAGGGATTCACGAGGAATAAGATGCTCTTTGCTTTCAAGGAGTTTAGTAACAACCTTGACCCTTTGTAATATTGACTCATCTGGAGTCCAACGTGTTAGAAAGCAGCTTTAAGCAAACAACTTTAAACATTTGCCACAGCTCAGAGACCCACAATGGAGTGCACTCCTCCTGCTAGTATTTCCCATCAGAGTAGAGAGGAAGGAAACTCAGAGTCATGACCTGAAATTTCGGACTTAACTCCTAGCTCCAATTATTCTTGGTTGTGTGGCCTAGGAAAAGGCACTTAAATCTTTTTCTGGCCTCAGTTTCCTCATCCACAAGATGAACACAAGGGCATCCACATCACAAAGTTGTTGAAAGATGCAAGTGAATAAGATATATTAAAATGCTTAGCAAGTGAGTAATCGTTATTAATTTTGCTCTAAAATTCTATGTCTTATTGTAAAACCCAGGCTATTAAACAATTGTAGCATTTTTTTCTGAAGAATGCATAGTATTTTCTTTCTAAGAGACAAAATCATTCTTATTTTCCTAACAAGAAAATAATGCACAATGTTGGAAACTGCTACCTGGGTGACTTTATGCAAATTAATTGACTTCTCTGGACTTCTATGTGCTTACGGTATTGTGGGGAGGACTGAGCGAAACAAAGCATTTATGAAAGAGTGTCTGGTACACAACAAGTGATTAACATAAATTAGATATTATTATGATTTCAAAGAGATGTTAATTGGAACCACCATTTATGTCCCAATGTTCCAGATGACGCCCTAAGATATAGATGCTAACTACGCTCACATCACTAAAGTGAGGGATGAGAACCCCGGCCCAGGACATCCAAAGGTAATCGTCAAGAACCAGTTTCCAATCCTGTGCTGCCACTCACCACTAGTCTAAAAAAAGGATGGAAAAGAAACAAAGAAATAGGTAGAGAATTTCTTAAAAGCAGCTGTATTGTACTGTGAGCTCCACTTCCCTTCCTCCATGTCAGCTGGGGAAGTCTTTCTCTTTCGCCTCAAACCTATGGGAAAGGATTCAATGGAATGACCTAGAGAGCTTGAGGAGTGCCTTGCTGTATTTGGGAAGCCGTATCCTGGACTCGATACCACCTGCAAGATCCAAAGGGCTAGAGACTGTAGCTAGTTAGCTACTCTGATGGCAAAGTAAGAGAGGTAGCAGGATTGGGTACGGCCCATACTCTCAGAGCTTGTCAGAGCAAAAGAGAAATGAATGTTTCCCATAGACTGTGTGTGTACCATGTATGAGAGGAGCTGGTTCGGTGATGTCTTAGATACTGGAGTCGGGGTCAATGAGACCTGAGCAGAAAGATGCTAGAAGTGTTCAGCTGGATGTCTAGAGGCTTCAAGTGACCCCAGAGGAGATATTTAGCCCATATCAAGTAATGGTGAGTTTCTGAGAAAGCCATGAAGTCACCCCATGAGAAGAAGAGTCAGTTTACCACCCCTGCCAAATCAGGCAGCATCCATGCCAGCCTGTATACGTGTCTATCAAGTAAACTTTTATCCCTTTGCCTTTCTAAGCTGACACTGTGCATTCCTCAGCCCTGGAGGAGCCTGAGGTAACCTGTCGAGGTAAAGGAAGAAAAACCAAAGCCCCAGGCAGAGGAAAATGAGAGGAGCCCCCGCACGCTCTTTCCCCAGCGCAAACAGGCAGAACTGACCTGAGGTGGAGGTGGAGGCACTAACTTCTAACAAAGTCTGGAGGTATTTAAAAATTATTTTTCTACCCTGGGTATATCAATTAATGACATAGAAACTTTACGTATCTAAGAATGAGAGTAAAGAAGTTTTTGCTCCTCAAAGGTGAGTGAAAATTCATGAAACTTACCCCAGTTTCTATCCAGGGGAAAGAATCCCACAAAGATGGTTTGAAAGGGCAGTGGAAGGCAAGAAGGTTTCTTTCTGATTACAGCCCATGAGTCCTGCCTCCTGAATGTTGCAGTGGCATCAGAATTGCTCCTCTGTTGATAACGTGACAGAGCAGAACTTCCGGAAGACTTTCAAATTCTTATGGCCCAATGCATGCTTCAGAGAAACCTATTTGACATGTCACGTGATAAGCTGGGTTGGCCAGTGTAGGGACTAAATTGTTGCTGTGTTTCTTTTAATTTCAATCAGATAATTGAATACTGACTTACCTAATTGTTCAATTAACAGTCAATTCAGTTATGGAAAAAACGAGTAAAACCACAGATCTTCTTAGGAAGCAATCTAAGGAACTCAAAACTTTCAGGCACAAACTGACAGTTCAGAGATGAAATAGACAACTGTTAACTCTCTATTCCCTCAAGCAATGACTCCCAAACTTCTGAGTGGGATGCATCCTCTGGTAACCGTGCTAAAATGCAGATTCCCAGGCGCAGCTGCTGGAAATTGATTCTAATAAGCTTTAAATGGGGCTTGGGAATCCACAAAAGGTTTCAGTCTTATAATCCAGCCCCCAACACACACACTTTAAAATGTACTGTCCCACCGTCTCAGATTCCCTTTGGTAACTTGAATTTGTCATAACAATACTGGATCCTTTTTTCAAAAAGCTATTCCATAAAGAAGAGCTGCGTCACATTGCCTGTCCATTTCACAGGTGTGCTTGGTTCAGAAAGATCACTGTAGTCACCAAACCTGGAGGCTAGAAATGATCACAACCAGCATGTGAGTTGTTTGAATGCTAATCCAGGGTTGATCCATTCTCCTCTTTTATGCATGGAATCCGAATATAAACCAGCTTCAGGCCTTCCTCCCTCCAGAGTTATCCATCAATCTTGCCATAATAAATGGTAAGCACTATTTAATATGGGCCCTCTTCAGACTACAGACTAATCAGAAGTCTCCGCATAACAAATGGAAGTTCAGCTTGGCAACAGGCATAAATATTTATGTTTGAAAACAAGCATTTTTAAGATCACCAACAAATCTAAAAAACATTCTGATCTGTTGCTTTCCATTACAGTTCTCAAGCTCTGCAGCCAAACAGAGGCGTGGGCAGGAAATATTTGTCACTTTATTGCAATGCAAACTACAGGGAGCATAAACCAGAAAGGCAGTGCATGCAAACAGGAACACGGCAGAGAAGGGCAGAGGAGTCCTCCTCCACACATGACACAGCATCCTTGGTGGGAACTGAGGGCTCAGTTAATATCCTAATTACTTTGGAATTATACAGCTCCTTTTTCCTCATAGAACTAGAGAATTTCATTAAACAAAAATGCTAACTTTCTTCAATTCATTTTCAGTGCAATACCATATTAAGAGTATCCTAAAACCTTTGTAGACCTAAAGGTTATTTCTGCATGATCACCAATAGGTGCTAGGAAACATAGGCTCTGCCAGCAAGAAGCTGGCAGTCTGGCTGGAGAGAGAAGATATGTATACAAATAGCAAGAATAGATCATAAAATAGCAAGGTAGATCATAAGAAGTACCACAGTCAGGATGAAGTGAAATGTTATGGGAACTAGAGCAGAAGATTGTTTCTCACTTAGAGAATCTGGAAAGCATCTTGGAGATGCTTCACTTTTGTATTTATATTCCCTAGCACAGTGTGTAAAACAGATGGTCCTGGAGAGTTTAGTGTTATGTGACTACTCAATGTGTCTTTTCAAGCCTAGCAAAGCTAGAGTTTAGATGTCTCTGCAACTTTAGGTACATCCATTCTACATTAGAGAAACATCATTGCACCTTATGATGGTCCCTGGTATTTTGCTGAATGTCAAGAATGTAGGACAGAATAAAATAGACAGAACAAATTACTTTTTATGGAGCTAGTCAGGTAGAAAGACAAGAAACAAGTAAACAAATAAAAGCGTAATTAAAGATTGTGAAAGTACTACCCAACATGTAAACAGGATAACAAGAGAGAAGCAGGAAAGAAGGCTGATTTTGGATTGTATGGTCAACAGGAGTTCTGAGAAGAGTGAAATGAAACCAGAGGGGTGAGAATCAAGCTGTGATGTGAACAACTGGTTACAAAGTTGTCCAGGGAGAGTAAACAGCAGGCATAGAGGGCCAGACGTGGAAATAGGCTTGGACTGTTCAAAGAAAAAAAAAGTGGTGAAAGGAACCAGACAAACTAAACAATTATCAACCCAGAATTCTATATCCAGCAAAAATATCTTTCAAAATTGAAAGTGAAATGAGAACATTTTCAATAAACAAAACCTAAGGGAATTGTTTGCCGGCAGACCCGCACTACAGAAATGCTTATAAATTTCTTCAGGTAGAAGGCAAATTATACCAGATATAAACTCAGGTCTACAGGAAAAAAACTAAGAACACGTGAATGATTAATATGTGGATATGTATCTTTTTTTATTCCTCTAAATTTATTTGAAGACAGCACACAATTCAAAGCAAAAACTGTAACA